TGTCTATTATCCTCCTGGAAAATATCCAAAGTGTCTTCTTTAGGGACTGTGCCACTTTTGGAGCCCGCTTCTTGCTTGTGCAAATTTGGTGATACCACATTTGTTTTAAACCTCAGTCACAGGTGTTTTGCAGACTAGGCTTTGGTTCCTTTGGAAATACATTTCTCAGTTCTCTCAAAAACATAGTATGTTTCTGCTGTATTCATTCTCAGTCACGTTTGGCTATAGCCAAATCCAAGTTTTTTTTTTTCCTTTAGGCATAGTGTTTTCATTTGTTTTATGTAATTGTGCCTTGCTACCCATCACCGCCCCCGCCGCCAACCCGTATGCTACCTTAGCAACTCTCTGAAACAATAGACTTGGATAAGAAGGCAAGATAAGAACCTTAAAGTTTGGGTTCTGTGATCAGAAAGCTTTTTCAACCTTCAGACCCTGATCCTTTCTATTCTTTTCCATTTCTGCCTGCCAACAGGCTGATTCTCAACTGAGCTCATCACTTCTTTGTTGTAACTTGCAAGCAATAAGGATCTGTTCTTTCTAGACATTTCTTAGACCTGCTACTTCAGGAGGCATGTGATCTCCCTTCCCAATTGTTTGAGGCGATAGTTTACACAATGTTTTGCCAGGATATACCAAGTATTTGTGGGTTTCTCATCTGCAGTTGCGCTTCTGATGAACAATGCCACATTTTAGGTATTATAATGGTAGCACTCCATATATGGTAGTTCTTTCTGTATTAGGTTAAAGATAGCAGCTAAATAAAGAGACTATAAAATACAATGCTTAAAACAAGGTGGAAGATTTTTCCTAGCTCACATAATCATCTGAATTTCAGGTTGATAGGTAGCTGTCTTCCATATAAATAATCAGGGACTCAGATTCTTTGTATGTTATTTTCTTACTACCTCATGGGGTATTGTCTTCATTTGCAAGATTAAAACTATATCTCAGGTATGTCCATTGTGTAAAGAGGAGATTGTGAAGGAGGTGGGTCTAGAAGTAGGCACACTTATGTTCTGCTCATATTTTAGTGGTGAGAACAAAGCCACATCTAACTGAAAGGGAATCTGGGAGCTGTAGTGTGTGTAAGCAGCCTTGTGCAAAGCTTCAGTTGTATTATTATGAAAAAAGTGAGAATGCTTGTCAGTAGCCTCTGTTATGGGAGACCGTCTAAAAGTAGGGATCCTAGTTAAGAGGCTGCTGCAATCATCAAGGTTTGCAATGATCATGTCTTTGTAGAGGAGCAGTAGTAAAGGTGTTGAGAAGGAGTTGGATTTTAGATATATTTTGAAAGCTAGTAGAATTTGCTAATTGATTGGATATGGGTATGAGAGAAGAAGGTGACTCTAAGATTTTTGGCTTGTGTACCTGAGCAGTGACATATACTGAGAGAGGGAAAATTAGAGGAAGGGCAGGATTGAGATGGGGAAAATAAAGAATTAGATTTTGAACTAATTAGACATCCAAGTAAGCAGGTCATGTGGGGATATATAAGTTTGGAGTTCCGGAATGTTATTGAAGATATAAATTTCTGGGGCCATCAGTGTGTAGATGGTATTTAAAGCCATGCATCTGTAATACCATCTAGAAAGTGAGTGAAGCGAAAAAAGCAAAGAGCTCTAAGAACTGAGCTTTAGTGCACTCCAGTGTTTAGAAGCCAAAGAGATTGGGAGAAACCAGTAAAGACTATTGACAGGGTGGCCAGGGAGGTAGGGGGAGAATTAAGAGATAAAGTTTCCCTAAATACAAGAGAAGAAGGTATTTCAGGAAAGAGATAGTCGCAGACTAGGTCAAATATTGGTATTACGATGAAGTTGAAACTGACAATCAAACGGCAATGTGTAGCCTAACTGGTGACCTTGACAGAGTGTTACGTTGGATGGAGTTGAAGAGAGAATGGGACTAGAAAAAGTAAAGACCAAACATGACCAAATTTTGGAGAAGTTTAAAGATAAAGGGAAGTAGTGAAGTGGAGTAGTAACTTGAAGGAAACTACGGGAACATGAAAGGTTCTTTTAATATGAGATATATTAAAACAGGTTATATATTCATAGGGATAATCCAATAGAGAAAGAAAAATATCACAATGTGTAAGAAGGAGTGATAATCATTGGAATGACCCTAAGCAATGGAATCTAGTGTTTGAGCATTGATCTTGATCTTAAATAGGAACACGCTTCATCCACTTTCATGAAGGAAGGTAGGGAAAATGAGTATAGATGCAAGTAAGTTGATAGACACAGCAGTGGAAATGTGTGGACATTCTTTTCTGATGGCTTCTATTTTATTAACCACATAGGAAGCAGGGTCCTCAGCTAAGAGAGGGTCAGGAGAGAGGAATTGGAGGTTTGAGAAGAGATGAGAAGTTGTGAAATTGGGGTCTAGAAGAAGAGGAGTGAATGAATTCAGCATATGTGGAAGAGCTGCTTGATATTCCTGATTATGAATTTAAAGTGAGACAGTCAGAAGAAATGAATATTTTTTTCCAACCTTGTTTAGCTTTGTGATTGTAGGTACAGAATAGACAAGAGTTGGTTTAACCAGCACAGGGATTTATCTAGGTGTACCTGTCAAGATCCATTGAGAAAACAGAAACCATACCACCAACTAGAACAGAGGAAATCTAATATAAACAATACCTAGCTGAGAGATGGTTAACTGCTAAACAGGGGTGAAAGAGAACTCTAAGGTGCACAGAGGCGGTGCCTGCGAGGGTGTCTAGATGCCTACATGCCAATCACAGCACTAGAAATGTCTCTTCTTTCACTTGTAGCCTTGCAGTTTCCCTCTAGCATTTTCTATGGGCAGAGCTTATTCTGAAGAAATGTCTGCAGAATCCAGCTCTTGTATCACAAAGCAGGGCAAAGAAGAGTGGGGTTACGAACTGAAAGACAATGACTTAATAATTAGCACAACAACTTAATAATTAGCGCAACCAGATGAGCACAAGGTGAAAAGAGCAGGCAAGAAAAGTGGGGTCGTATACCAGAGAGTTATTATAATCATCATGGAATCGTATCTGGATAAGGAGGGAGAGACGGAAAAGGAGGTGAAAGGCAGTGAAAAGAAGAAGGATTCTGGGCTGCTACATCCTGTAGCCTGCTGGAATGGCACTTTCTGGAAGGGTGCAGGGTATGACCTGCACAACTGTTCCTCAATGCTCTGGAATGCATTGCAAGACCCAGTGGAACCCCAGAAAGACCGGAGGAGGGTTCTACATGTGAACAAATCTGATTTTGCTATGTCAACTTTCAAAATGATCATAAAGATATACTAGAAGAACCCTGTTGGAGAAAGTAAGTGGAGAAATGAATTCGTGCTCAGGCACTTTCATTTTCTGTAAGGACCATGGAGAAGGCAAATTTTCACCTAAGCTATTCTTATTAAACATTGCAAAACTTGGGGATCTTTCAGTGCTTTTCCACTTTATTTCCTAAGCTATGAAGAAGAATACTGGAATATTCAGTTCTATTAATTTGTATAATGAAACAATGAATGTATTAAGTATGTTTTCCAAATTACACGAAGATTCTCTTATTCCCCTTCTCCTTCCTTGCCTGCATCTCTTCCTCCTCCCACCCTCTTGAGAATCATTGACCTAGACATATAAATGTCTAACAAGGTAATCTCAGGGATCTGAGGGAGTGCAAGAGGCCACTCAGGAAGAAATCTTAAGCGTGAAGCATTTTACCCCACTAAAATCATGCTAGTTACTGACAGCCAACTCTGCCTGCCAGTAATTATAGCCTGTCAGGGTTCACAGGCACTTGCATTTCACAAGGATGTGTGAATTGCACATGTCTTACATTTCTTAGTAGGGCCCTGCCCTACAGCAATATTTTTACCAAATGACTGTTTTCAGGGAGGTATTGGATCTTATTTAAGTGAAAATAAATAAATAAATAAATAATAATAATAATAGTTATTCTTCACTGTAAGACCACAAAGGAAGCTGCAATTAATGAATTTGCAGAGTCAGGAACATTGCTCAAGGCATTAGCTCAGTTTGGTGTAGAGCTGTTTGTTTACAAGTCATTAGGAGACCCCAGACCCATTTGTGTTGACAGGTAGTCTTCAGTCCTTTATCTGCTTTTTTCCCTCCTTAAACTAATTTTTTATAGTGGTAAGATATACATAACATAAAAATTACTATTTTAACCTACTCATTTAGATGTCTCAAGGGTAAGCTGCCTCTTTTTAATCTACCTGTGCAATATAAAATTAAGAGCCAATTACACCATCATCAAATAGAGGAGGGCTTTTAAAAGATAACTGGAGAGTGATATAGAAGGTTTCCTAATCACTACACCTAATTGCAAAGAGGAGCAAAGAATTTTTCATGAGTATCTGAACTATAATTAAATACAAATAATCAACTATGAACTTTCCATTATTTTAGCAGTGTGTTCTCTGAGGCAACGAAACTTTTCCCAAGGGAAAATAGATTACTGTTTGCTGTAAATCAAATGTGTGTGGAAAAAAGGGCATACAACAAAGTGGGAAATAAGAGAGAGAAGACTCCAGGAAAGTAGAGAAAGAATTCCCGAGTCGAGAAGACATAGGAGAACTTTTACAGGCTAAATGAAGAGGAATTTAATAAGAGAAAAACCTAAATAAACATGAAGTTGGAGGAGTATGTGGAGAAGTGGGCTTGCGCTAAAAAGGTGATACAAGGATCATATATGTAACCTGCTAGGGGGAGTCCAACCAAAAGCAATCAACTTCCATCCTGGATTTCATTAGAAAATTCTTCATTCAACAGGGACAAATTCAGCTTCTGGTTTTTTTTCTTACACATAACAGTTGATCACTGGATGAGCAAGATATACCCATAGTAGGCACCCTCACTGTTGTGGAGTAATGATTTTAGAAGGAAGGTTGTGCATTGGGGTGAATGTGGAGAGTAGAAAGTGTTCTTGCCCTTCTAAGCTCAGGGAATTAATTCATTAATTCATTCATTCTTTACTGAAACTTTTTTCTTTTTTTTTGGCATTACCTAGGTTCCAGACAAAAACACTTTTTCACAATTGTAAGCAAGACCAACAAATTTGTTCTTTTATGGCCCTTACTATTTTCCTAAAGAGAAAGACAATAAACACACAAGTAAACAAGAAGATATCAGATATTAACATCTACGGTGAAGAAATTACAGCAGAATGGTGAGACAGTGTACACATCTTCTTGCATAAAGTGAATTATTAGACATTTTTATTTTTCCTCCCTCTCTCCTCCGTCTTTTTCTTTCTCCTTTGCTTCCGTCACACATTTTCTGGAGCCCATATTATGTATCAGGCTTATCTGGTTTATATTTTTATACTCCCTAAACCCTACTTGAGAGAAAAAGTAGGTTTTGCGCATAATAGGAGTTCAGTAAATTGTTGGAAAGATTCAGTTGTTCACAAACTTAGACTACATGAAATGAAGAGCGTAAAATATCAAAAGAGAGGAAAGAAAAAATGAGCATAATTAACACAGAAACAGGTTAAAATTAGATGACAGTGAGCCTTATTGGCACAAATAATGACTACATCAATATGGCATTTGAAATAGCAGGACGCCATCATTTATCTCACTTTTGTGCCTCATCTGTCTTATGAATTTGGAGAAAGCAGGGCATTTTGCCAAATTTAGAAGCAATTCAAATTTTATGTATTAAGACTTTCGACTGAAAGTTGTAGATGTCTGTATTTGAGCTCTGATTGCTGGCAAGATAAAATTTCCCAGTTAAAAGAAAATCAGTTTTTAAGGTTATAAAAGAGAGAGAGAGAGACCTAATGTGCCGAGTTAATTGTAAAGAATCAGAAACAGATGGACTGATGTCTTCTTAAGAGATAGAAGGGAAAATAGAGGGAAAACAGTGAGTGGCAGAATGCAATTTGGGGGTCGTTGCTTTTGATCACATAGCCTTAGCATGTTGGGTAACTAACAAGCTTAGGCCGATTTTCCCTGGTAAAGGAGCTTTGGATGACATAAGCCAAACATTTTTCCTCTTAATTCTCCTGGTAATAGCAATTTATCTTTTTCAAGCAGTGGTGGAAATGGAGGAATGCACACGAATGCAGATGCTGGACCTCTCTGCCCACCTCATATGTAAATGTTATAATAGGATTTACCTGACTTAGCAGTACAGTGGAGGCTCCCAGAATTCATTTTGATTCTTACCCCTGCTCACAAAGGCTATATAGGTTTATAGAAAAGATCAGCATTAAGCAGAAAAAGTCACAGCCATCCTAACACTTTTGGAAAGTATGAGTTTACCATAAAATAAAAATCTAAAATCCTGGTCAGAAAGTTACGGGTGTCTTAGGGTGGTGGTGGCTTATCCACAATTGATTTAGGCAGATGTTGTATCTTGCATTTTAACATTCATGAATAAATTCCCTCAACCTAAGGCATATAAACACACATTCATGAAAGAATCCACACGACTCTCTTTATTTTTAGGAGATTACATAAAATATTTATATCCCTCTGTCTTCCTAACCAATTACTTTCCCTAAGAAAAAAAATAATACATATGAAATGTGATTAAAAATTTACCTTGTACCAAATAACTTGCAATTAACTCATTCATTTCCACATTTCTTCATTCTCAGTTACAGTTGGGATGCATTGTAAAACAACTATCACTTTTGAACCTTTCAAACTGGAAATACACCATATCAATGGTGGCAGGCAAGTCAAAACACAATGTAGATTTTGTATCAATCAGAATGTAAAATGATCTCATTAGAGTTTCAGGTCTATATGTGGGTGCATTTTCAACTACTCCGCTTTCCTGCATGAAAGTTTAGCAAAGATTAAGTCATTTACCAGCGACAGTTGGCTAAGGCAGCTGAGCGGAGGCTTTGATGAAATGTGTCAGTCATTTTCCAGCAACTCTGCCTTAGACAGTAGGCTATCAGGAGTAACCGCTGTCAAAGAACTATTGTCAATGTGGTTGGAATTCTTTAGACAGAACATTCCTCTCCTAAATATTTTCTTTAACCTGTTTGTGAGTCTTTTCTTTTTATGACTGTATTTACTATTAAAATTAACATTCTGAACATGATAGCCTGGATTTATTTTTTGAAAGAAATTCTGGGGGAGTACTGAGTGGAAAGGATAGACTTTAGAATTCATATAAAGAAATAGCAGTACATATATTCATTACGTGAGTGATGGGATCAGTCGTACCCCAAACCTCAGCATCAGGCAATATACTCATGTAACAAACCTGCACATGTACCCCTTGAATCTAAAATAAAAGCTGAAATTATAAAAAAGAGCAGTACATAAGTACTACATAATTAATCAATAAATGTCACATAGTATCCTATTTATATAATATTTTGTTCTAAATTTTACTTAAAATTAACTAGCTATTCTTATTTAGCTAAATTTGAAGAATTAAATATTGTTTCTGTTCTCGTACATCTCATAGCCTGAACCAAACCCAAATATCTCATGGTGCTAGTACATAGCACAGATTCTAAACACTTTGTGGCATATTTCTTTAAAGCAGAAAAATCTCCGCCTTCCAAGGGTCTCAGTAACAGATCACGCCAGGAACTATTCCAACCATTTCAGATACTGAACTTTCAAAATACTTCTACTTCTCTTTCTCTGAAAAAATCATAGTGATCAGATCCTAACAAAATTTGAAATCTCTGAGCAGATATACAGAAATATCCACATATAAAGATAAGCAAATTTAACACACAAGAAAATGAATTTGAAACAATGACCATTTGATATTTAAACAGTGATTTTCTGACATCAAAAGAAGCTACTTTAAATTTATCTTATGTAAAAGATCAGCTCAAGGTCCATGACATCTGTTTGAAAGTGTTTCATGGGATTCTTAGCAACACAACACTTTTTAGCTTACAATTTGGTAATGAATGAGTAGACTGACCTTTTTAAATGAAATGTATTAGCCTGGGCATCATCACCATCAACTAGAAGCAAAGGGCCTTCTAGTTCAAAAATGTCCTCTCAAATTATCTTGTGTGTGTTTTCCAAAATTGAATATTCATCTTAGGATTTTAAATGTTGATTTAAGACTTTAGTGAAAGACATGCATTTGGGAAGCTGGACCAAACAGTGGGAGTATTGTTAAATATTTTGTTAAATATACAGAACCTTTATTTGGGGTTAATTTTTTTGGGAGAAAATCTTACTTTAAAAATATTGTGAGTTATGTTTTGAGATCTTGAAAACTTTTTGTAGGTGAATTATCAAGTGGCATTGGTGCTAGGAGGAAAAAGACATGTCAACAGATAATTACAATAAAATGTGATAAGTGCTATTATAAGGATTTGTGCCAAGTCCTCTGAGAGGGCTCCTCCCCTTCCATATGGGGATTTTTGGCAATGACAGAATCAGGGTGTGGGTGAATTTGCTGAAGTGATTGCAATCAGGTCAGGGGATTAAAAAACTCTTGAAGTGGGGACTTAAGACAGTCTTCCTACTTATGATATGTTCAATATGAAGGAAATAATGCTAAATAAAGAAAAAAAGGACATTACTAAGATTATCTGAAAACTCACTCTGGCATTCTAACTGAAATGAAAGTTTCACCTATAATTGAGTACAGTTATAATGCTTAAAATTTATATGGCACTTTGTACTTTTCAAAGAAATTTCTCATTGTATTATGATTTGGCTTAAGAAGTAATTTAAATTTTTAACGTATCCATCCATCCATTCATTCATTCATTCAAGTATGTTGTGTGCCAGATGCTGTGTCAGGAGTTGGTAATTCAAAGATGAATAAGACATTGCTCCTTTGTTTATATATTGTATTCTTACTAAACTGAACATCTTTGAGGAGAAATGTATTTGTAGCACATAGGTACTCGCTATCTGTCTGTTGAATGAATATTTGAATTTATGAATAAATGGATAAATGTTCTGATAAAGTTGCAAAAAAAAACTCATTTACCAAACTGAAGTTTGGGCATATTAAGATAATAGGTACTGGAGTCAGAAGCCCTCGTTTTACGTCTTAGCTTGTACATACTAGGATGATACTGGAAAATTTACTTAACCTTTTGTAGTCACATTTTCCTAAACTTGGGGATAAAATTCTCTCTCTCTTAAAAGGTTGCTATGAGGGTGAATGTGCAAGAGCTCTTCAACTGAATGTGCTATTTAGATGTTAGTAATTACTGCAATAACATTCTTATATTCTACACTAGACAATATTATATTACACTAACATTCATATATTCTACACTATAGTGCAACATTTAAAGGGAGGTTGCCCTATTAGTCATAAAGTAGCATATTCTTTCCACAATGGAGAAATGAAGAGTGCTATTCTTGGCAGTATGCCAGTTATTCTGGGGTAAATTACATCAGTGATGAGAATCAGAGGCCAAGAGAGAAGGCTCTATATTGATGGGACGACTAAAGAGGACGGGGAGTCTTGTGACTTGGGAATAGCGTAGATTCCATGTAGTTGTAACTGAAGTACAGGGTTCTAAGTCTGACTGGCAACAAGGCAAGTTTGCTCCATGGTCAGTTTATGGTCCCAACAATCACCACTCAGGCATCTGAATCTTGGGTAAGGTATTCTGATGATATTTGGAATGTCATTGAATGGGAGCTAAGGAACTAGATGATTTTTATAGATAAAGGAGTATCATGGATGTTGCTAAATATACATGAAGATGGAAATAATTGAAATGAGATGAGGCTTATAGGCAGTGGCCTAGATGACATAGATGGTAATTACACTGTTGTTATTACTACCTCCACCACCACCAATAACAATACGTTGCCGGTCTACCTAACATTCTTCATTATCTCTATTAATACCCATGAAAAACTACTAAAGTACCCATTTCATTTTACAGATAAAAGGATACATCTAGATGCATCAAATGACTTGTCTGAGGCTATATTGCAAGTAAATTGACTCAGCTCCTATGAATCCAAGTCCACTGCTATTTCATGTAAGAGGCCTGCTTCTTTCAGGATGTCAAGGTATTGTGCAGGGTGGACTGGAGGAACAGAAATTTTCCCTGCGTAGTCGACGATATTTGCTACAGGATGCCTTGGGTTGTTTTTTACGTGTGTGCATTTTCTCCCTGATGAAATGAAAACTCCCTGAGAGCAGTAAGCACCATCTTATTCTCCTTATTTAGCTCTGAGGACAGTAGACGTACTTAATAGACTGTGTAAATATATTTTAGCAGTTATTAATGTTATCATAAATATCCATTGAAAGTTTGCTTTCCAGTTAAATAGCTTATTTGTGAACTGCTAGCCACTCCTGCTTTTTTTTTTTTTTTTTTGAGATGGAGTCTCACTCTGTTGCCCAGGCTGGATGCAGTGGCGTGATCTTGGCTCCCTGCAACCTCCACCTCCTAAGTTCAAGCGATTCTCCTGCCTCAGCCTCCTGAGTAGCTGGGACTGCAGGCACATCCACCACACTGGCTAATTTTTTGTATTTTTAGTAGAGATGAGGTTTCACCAGATTGGCCAGGCTGGTCTCGAATCCTGGCTCAGGTGATCACCCCACCTCAGCCTTCCAAAGTGCTGGTATTACAGACTTGAGCCACCATGCCCAGCCCCATTCCTGCCCTCTCTAACACACATACACAGATGTCACTACTAAGCCCATTTCTTTCTCACATCCATGCTGCTATTAGATCCCTTGATGTATCCCATACCAATATGTCATGGCAGGCCTCATCAGGCAGGGCAGCTGCTGAGCACACCTCCTTGTTGCCATGTTGCCTGTAACCATGATCCCCTTTTCTATAAACATAGCACCAGGCACATCTAATCTGCAATATGATATCCCGTGTTTTATTTTATTGTTTGCTTCTTAATGAAGTTTGCTTCAACTTCATTATTTGATTTAGCTTATTTAAGGAAGGAGGAACAGAAGATAGAGCAAAATGGGTCGAAGTAGAATGAATGAAGAGAAAATATCTTAATAAAATGTTGGACTTTAAGAGCATTATTTGTATTCAAAATTAATTTGTGTCAGTCTCATCTCTGACACCTAGACTATAAGGCGTATTCATCAAATGGAAGCTTAGGTGAGACCTGAATTGTAGAACAGATACCCATTTTTCTTGTGTTTTGAAGTTGCTGCTGCTGTATAAGACCTGTCTGGCTCTTATTATCCTGCCAGGCTTTCTTCTCTGCTTGCTCTTTTTAGAAAACTGTTGGCAAGGGCTTCAAAGGGTGACCAGCTGAAACTAACCATGCTGTAGGTTTCTGACTGCAAAAAAATTCTCTACCCAGTTCACAATCAGTAAGGTTATAACGGAAACACCTTGGAAATTTCTCAAACTATCTGGTCCCGCTCATCCTCCTCCAGTGAGATATCAGACATTCTGATGGGGCAACAAGCATGTGAGATTTGGAAAAGCTTCTCCAGTTGGTTCAATCCCTCTGCCCTGTCCTCTTGCTCTGAGAATTGCTGGCCTAGTACTTAAGAACATGTTCTTTGGATTCTCGTTACTTCTGTATTTAAATCCTGCTGGCCTAGGCACTTGTTGGCTCTGTGACGTGGGAGAATTACATAATCTCTGATGATCTTCTTTCATTTGAAAAATGTAGTTAATAGATACTTCAAAAGGCATAAATTGCTAACATATGTTCGAGACTTATACACTGAAAACACAGAAACATTGAAAGAAAAATTAAGGAAGATGTGAATATGTGAAAAGATATACTCATAGATGGAGGATAATTAGTTGGAGTAATTCTTCATAAATTGATGATATAGAGTAAACTAATGCCAATAAAAACCTTAATGTGAGTGTGATTTTTATAGAAAATGTTACACTGATTCTAAAATTTATAAGGAGACACAAAAGATCTGGAAGAGGCAGAAAAAATTTGAAGAAGATCAAGGAAGATACAGAACTTATACCTTCAGATTTCAAGACTCTACCTTAGTAATCAATACCATGTGATAGTGGCGATAATTATAGACATATAGATAGATGGAATAGAATAGAGTTCCAGATATGTACTGTCAGGTGATTTTTGACAAAGTTACTTCGATAATTCAGTGGGGAAAGAATAATTTTTTAAATAAATGGTGCTGAAAAACTGGTTATTTGTATGGAAAAAATTAATCTAAATCTCTACTTTTACAGCATCCTCTAAAGTAAACTGGAGATGAATCATAGCCCTAAAGACAAGTCACAGAACTGTAAAACACATAGAAGATAAGATAACAAAAATATTTTAAACAATTGGGTACACAAGATTTCTTAGGATACAGGAAGCACTAACTATACAAGAAAATAGTTAATGAACCAGACAGCATCAAAACTGTCAGCAGTAACTCTTCAAAAGACACCATTGAGTAAATAAAAAGGCAAATACCAAACTGAGGAAAAGAATATTTGCAATAGCTAACAAAGAATTTGAATCTAGAATAATAACTCTTAAAACTTAGTAAGAAGACAAACAATGATCCAAAATAAACAAAATATTTGAATACATATTTAAAGAAAAGAAGACCATGATGGCCATGAAAGGATGTTCAACATCATTAGTCATTAGGGAAATTCAAATGGAAACCAGAATGAAATACTATTTCATACCTACTAGAACAGTCAAAATTTAAAAAGACCGATAATATCTATTTTGCTGTTGGGAATGGAAAATAGCACAATCACTTTGGAAAACAGTTTGGCAGTTTCCTATAAAGTTAAATAAACACTTATCCTATACCCCCAAATTCTATACCTAGGCATATATCCAAAAGAAATGAAAACATATGTCCACTAAAAGGCTTGTACACAAATGTTCATAGCAGCTTAAAAAAAAAAAGCCCCAAATTGGGTAAAGCTCAAACGTCTATCAACAAGTGAATGAATAAATTGTGTTATAGACGTATAATGGGATATTAACACTCCGCAGTGTTACAACCCTGAGGAATCTGAAATATAATGCCAAGAAAAAGAAACCAAACACAAAACAGTATTTACTGTACAATTCCATTTAAGTGAGATTCTAGAACAGGCAAAAGTAATCCATTGTAACAGAAATAAGATCAGTGGTTGCCTGGATGCAGAAAGAGAGCAGCTGGGTTACACTGAAAAGGCATCCAAGGGAATATCTTGGACATGTTCTTTATTTTGATTTAGGTGGTGGTTTCATGACGTATTCATTTTTCAAAATTCATCGAACTCTACACTTAAGGTTGAATGCATTTTATTGTTTAAATGCCAACTTTTTAGATTACAAACTTAAAAATATATTGGGTCAGTTTGAGAGCTCACTGGTAGTCTACAATTGTGTATGTAAAGTATAAAAATGAAATTCAAAATCTGAAATGAAATACAAATGAATGAAATACATGAATGTAAACTGTGGTTATTGTAAAGTGCCAGTAGCTTATAGACAAAGACTTTGTTAAAAAATAAAAAAAAAAGGAAACAACAAATAAAGCAGATACTTTGTTGGCGTAACAATCCTTTAATTTCTTCGGTGAGAATTGATCCGTATTAGCAAAACAAAGATTTATTGGTCCTTTAGATGCTTCATTTTGAAGAATCTAGAAGAAACCTTTACTATTGGTGCCATGTCCATACTAAGAACATGGACATCATGACTTTAGAACATAGATGTACCACCCAAATGGATGTGGAACGTTGGGAATGGGCCCTCAGTGAGAAGTCATGTAGGTTGCCTGTCAGATTCTGGATGAACTGAGAGGCAAAATAAATAGATTTTGCATTGCATCCTTCACAGCAGGTACTCCTGGAGAAATAAATTGATTTGTACCATTTTCTGAGTTCTGTATGTTTATGATAGGCTAACAATAAAATTGTTTTGAATCTGGTAATGTACCCATCTCATGTGTCCTTTTGAGCTTTAACTGGAGCCTTACACTCTGGTAAAGAACGAAAATATATAACTCCATGTATACAGGATAGCTTAAAATATTTCTAATTTTAGTAATTCAGTGTTTGATATAAGTTTTCAGACTTGATTTTTTTCCTACTTAAAATCATCTAATCAATCAACCACCTACCAACCACCCACCAACCACATATAAAAACCAGACGCTATTTTAGGCTGCAAAGATGGCTAGTCTCCTGAACTAAAATGGTGAGCTAGGTAGTGAAAGGCTATAGAAATTTCATTAGGAGGCTAATCAAGTTAGCGAAGAACATGAAAACTATGTTGGATAAAGAATGAATGAGAGGGAAAAGGTCACCTCTTTGAAGGTCTGTCATGTGTAAGAGAAAACAGAATTTTCCTTTGCTGCTCTAAAGGCTGGAAATAAATCCAATGTGTGGAAATGACAGTGTGGGAGATTTGAGCTTGAGCCATTATATTACATGGGTTCTCAGAGGTTTTGCCTCTGCTGAAGTATTTATAAGGAAGGGGAGAACTTACCTCACCAAAAGCTGGCTAATTTCTTCAATAAATGGCTCTAGTTGTTGACAGTGAGAAACCCTATCACAGTTAAGATAGTAGACTCTTAAGAGTTTGAATTCCATCTCTGCCATGTACAAGCTGTGTGACTTTGGACATGTTGCTGAAACTTTCTGAGTCCATTTTCCCCAACTTAAAATGGTACTTACTGCGTAAGATTTTTGTGAATAATCAGTACATAGATGATACTTAGAATAGGACCTAGAAATTAGTAGGTGCACATTATATGTTGGTTACCACTTAAAATTATTACTTTCCGGGGGAATTTTCTGTGGAGATTTCTGTGTGAAGTGAGAGTATGGTCAAGATGATCTCTAAAATTTTATCCGCTTCTATCTTTCAGTAGGTTCAACATTTTGGGAAGTATACTTTTCAGAGATTTGCACATCACTGGAAGGTGATACCCAGCCTTGATTGTGGGATTATCTTCCACATGAATTTTGAAATGATAAGCTTCATCTAGGTATGATTTTGTGTAAATTTTTCAGGCTAATTAAAATGTTGGAAGATGAGGCTGACTTTTCTTCCCAACAAGTTCTTTATCTGTGTTCCTGGGTCACCTTTCATGTGATATTCTCAGTGAGGAAAAAAGGGGGGGGATACAATGTTCTTTTCTATTTTCTCCTAAGCATTCTTCCAAAGCATGGAGGGCACAGTTACATGCCGTGAGAGTTTATTAGAACATATTAATAGCCTAAAATAGATAGATAAATCTCTACCCACCTATACATCAATAAATATTTATTGAACACGTTATAGGCATTGTGCTCAGCATTGAAAATGATATTCATCATTAAAGTCCAAATAGAATACTACTTAAAATAATCTGACCTGGCCGAGCGCGGTGGCTCAAGCCTGTAATCCCAGCACTTTGGGAGGCCGAGACAGGCGGATCACGAGGTCAGGAGATCAAGACCATCCTGGCTAACCGGGTGAAACCCCGTCTCTACTAAAAAAATACAAAAAACTAGCTGGGCGAGGTGACAGGCGCCTGTAGTCCCAGCTACTCGGGAGGCTGAGGCAGGAGAATGGCGTGAACCCGGGAGGCAGAGCTTGCAGTGAGCTGAGATCCGGCCACTGCACTCCAGCCTGGGCGACAGAGCGAGATTCCGTCTCAAAAAAAAAAAAAATCTGACCTGTGTAAGTATCATTACCCATTGCTTTATGGTAAAGCACTACTCAAATTAATGATTTTTGTGTGTGTGTTGGACTCAGCCAGGCAGTTCTTCTGGTCTTGGTTGTGGTCAGCTGCACCTTGACTGGGCAGCTCTGCTTCTAGGGGCTAGGTTGGATACTGGCAGGAGTTCTGGGGTGACTGAGCCACATAGCTCTCAGTTTTCATCAAGCTAGCCTGGGTTTGTTTACAGAAGCAGGAGTTCAAGAGAAAGAACTGAATGTACAAGGCCTCTGGAGCCTAGGTTTAGAACTAGCACCCCATCCTTTTCACCAAGCTCTGTTGACCATAGTAAGTCACAAACCTACCTAAGAGGTGAGGAAATATATGACACCACTTCATGAGAGGATTGACAGATTCACAGTGCAAAGAGCCTGGATATAGGGAGGTCAATAATTGGGGCCATCAGTACAATCAATCTACGAGATACATCATCAAAAAGATGAAAAATGCTAATAAAACCCTGTTAGAGAGTCAGGCACTCTGTAAGAGAGTAACCAGATTGACCATATAAAGCTTCTTGGAGGCAATGGAAAGGTGAATTACACTGGGGATTGATCAGTTCTGACTTTTTTCTAAGAAAACTGGTCAGCATTCCCAACATATATCCAAGAAGCTGACAATTGTATTATACTTTTAAAACAGCAGATGATATCAATTCTAAAATTGTAGCATTCAGAATAATTTAACCAAAGGTGCCAGAGTAAATAGTCAGCAATGTGAATATTCTAGAGGCGTGAAGATTAATGATAGTGTGAGAATCAGGGACTACTGTTTACAGATAAGGAGTTAAACTCTCACAGCAGCTCTGGAGAAGACTTTTGAATTAATGGCTAATTTCAAACAAAGCATTTAATGTCACCACTTGAAATGTTTCAGTAATAATTCAAATGGTTTAATTCTAAGCCACTTATGATTAAATTTCAAATATGCTAAGGTATTATTAGACATTTATGGGAAAAATCATTTTTCCCCCTGCAAATTAAATGTTCTTCTTTGACAATGATTCAAGTTATGATGGGGATTCTTGTTTCCTTTTAATTATAGCCCAAACACTTATATGGGCAATGCAGCAATATGATCACTATTTCATTTTGGAGCCATTATTACCGAAATGCAAAATATCTCAGTCTCTAAAACACTCCCCCTCCTCTAGGTTTTCCTTTTAATCCCATAAAAGCATCTGTCTTTGATTTCAAGTGGAGTACCTGCTGTGCAGGATGCAATGCAAATCCAATTTGTGTGTAACAAAACCAAATGGGCTGAAATGAACTCTGCATTTTAAAGATGTTTTTGTTTAATCATCACCATCACTCGTCTTTAATGAATGCATAATCAAGTTAAACTTCAGGCAAGAAATGGAATGGCTCTGCTTACGACAGAGAAAGCAAATTCTTGTGATAGCCCTTATTGCTGATTTGCCTCCCGTTCCCGTATTGGCAGGAGAGAAATAGGAACAATCTTCAAATGCATGCTATGGCAAACTGTAGAGAACCATGACATGAGCAATATCACTGCTCTTTTTTTTTTTTTTTTCTTTCATAGTGTTTACAGTAGAAAATGAGGATGCAAGATTCCTGGGTTCTCATTTTGACCTTTTTTTCCACATCTCACATAAAATAGGAGGCAGAATATAGTACTTTGGAAGTTTAGAGGAGGATGTACCATGAGGCATTTCTGTGCTAAATATATTTAGCCTAAATGTTGACGAATGATTTCCTGATTACAGAGGATCTTTTTGATAGTGAAACTTCTGTAGTTCTTTCTTTTAGAAAGAGACTCTTACAAAGACCTCAAGGCGTCAGATAACTTTTTGTACAATCTTAATGCTGTTCAGATATAGATCAGTTACAAACAAGGGAATGTGATGAGAAAATGTTTTATAATGATACACTCTTATAGATCTTCCAATTTACTCACTTTCCAGATGAGAAAGCCAAGCACAAAATGTGCATTGACTAACATGGGGTCAGATGGTCAATGGGTGGGAGAGTCAAAGCTGGAACACTGGTTTCTGGATCCTTAGTCTTTCCAAAGCAGTATTAAAATCTGACATTGTGTTACCACAGAGATGTGTTGCAATAGAAACGGCAGAACTTAAAGTAAATATATTCTAGAAGAATTATTAAGTGGTAGACTGTCATCATGAACTTTGTATTCAAGGTGAGTTGACAATAGGGTTAGGTACTGTGTCTGAATCTCAAAATACTGTTTTCAAGAAAAAATCTAGGGATTTAAGGAATGCCAGGATGCAGATTTCTACTGATTACTTTTAATGCGATAAGAATTGGGATTGGTTTTATTTATAGCTGAGAGTCTACATGGTGGGATTTGCAAAACTCTGAGACAGACTGCTTGAACACCTGCCATTATACCTGAAATTCCAACACTGCAGTTATTTTCAGATGATAAGGCATTGTCTTCTATTAGGGAGAAATTCCTCCGGAGCAATAACTCTGTGGAACCAGCATCTGTTCTTTACCCTTTAATTTCAAAAGATTCACTAATTTCCTTTTTGATTAGGAACACCTCACTGCAAGCAAGGTGTTGCTACAATTCTGTGATTGTATATGATGCTACATTTTGATAATTAATGGGAAAGATAAGGAAAGTTAGAGAATGGCATCCAGGGCCAGCCCATCAGGCTCTGCAGTGAGGTGTTACAGAGAGCAAGGGGAAGGACCAAAACTGAGAAAGCCCATTAAAGCTAGATACCTCTATTCACAACTTGTTTGAGGAGGCTGCCCCTGAGTTAAGCCAGTTGGAGAGCAGATAGATCAATTTATATTCCCTTGTTCTTTTTTTTCTTTTTCTTTTTTTTTTTTTTTTGAGACGGAGTCTCGCTCTGTCGCCCAGGCTGGAGTGCAGTGGCTCGATCTCGGCTCACTGCAAGCTCCGCCTCCCGGGTTCACACCATTCTGCTGCCTCAGCCTCTCGAGCAGCTGGGATTACAGGCGCCCACCACATGCCGGGCTAATTTTTTTGTTTTTGGTAGAGACGGGGTTTCACCGTGTTAGCCAGGATGGTCTCGATCTCCAGACCTCATGATCCGCCCGCCTTGGCCTCCCAAAGTGCTGGGATTACAGATGTGAGCCACCGTGCCTGGCCTGTATTCCCTTGTTCTTAACCTGTTCTGCTTGTCCTTTACCCGACCTATTCACATAAGAGTCTGAATATTGGGTTTAGAATAGTTTTAAAATTTCTCGTGTAATGGGGGAAAATCACAAGCATAACAATCAAATTACATTCCAGGGGAATAGCGTTTATATACTGCTTTATATTGACTAAGTATTTCATCTCATATCAGAGGACCACCAAATAGCTTTCAATAACATTGTTCTAGGGAGACTAAAAGACATGTGTATTCTTTCCTCCCTGATTTCAGTTCCCAAATTGTGCTAGCCAGTCAATGTGACCTCTTGACCCTTTGAAACTTTTTCATTTTTCTTTATATTGACAAAAATAAGACTCCTTTCAATACTAATGTATTCTTTGCGCCCGAGGCCAGAAGGTCATCCATGTAAATGAACCATGTAAGCAGCCTGTTATGATCAGATATTTTGTGGGGGAAGGTGGGGGAAGAAATTAACATTATCTGGTACTTGGTTTGATGTGGTAGATAATTTTGAGCAGTAGACTGTGACCCAGGTGTCCACAAATTAGATTATTTGGGGAGCTACACCTGCCAACTGAACTCTAGGTGAAGGTACACTGGTAACCAAAGAGTCCCATGTATAATAATTAAAAAAATTATCAAAACCAGAAATCTTTTAAGGTCTTTTGCAATATAGGAGTCTCTATCAAAATCACAACATATCTTTGTATGGAGAATTCAGTTGTTATCAACCCACATGGCCACTGGATGTCCCCACTCTTCCTCAAATGCAGCTAAGGCATCACTTAACTGGCAGTTATAAAAACAATGCATTTTTCCAGGGAACCTCCAGAAACATCCTGCAAGAGTTCTGGGTGTGTTTGGCGGGATTGTTTGTCCCTGGCAATAGCAGGGCTGATTAGAAATGGGTGACTTAAGAGACTGAGTTCAGCGAGAGGAATTATTGGGCTTATGTCATTCTATGTCATTGCATATTTACTTCTGTAATCTTCTCCAATTGCTTTTTTTGTTTTTCCCTAAAAAGCTCTAAAAGGGGAGGAGATCTGAGGATACTTCTACTGTAATCATCAGAGGTGAAACAAGTATGAGTTGGAAACGGTGAGAACATGGGAGAATGAGCATGACAACTTTGCAACATACATGAGAAACTACTTCCTGGGAATGAAGGATAAAATGTATATGGTATTCTTTAGCATGGTGAAAGGTCTGAATTTTGATCACTGTTTTATTCTCAGCAATTGTAACTGGTCAGTAATAGCAGTGGGGCAATTGACTGAACACTGGACGTAAGAGTTAAGACCAGGATTTGCATCTCATTTCTATTACTTGTTTCATGATATGTGACAAGTATGCTTTGTGTCTCTGAATCTTGGGCCCTTGTCTGTAAAATGGGGTGATATAGTGCTTTCCTCAGATTTCTTGGAAAACTTAAATTATGTTTTTTATATGAAATAGCCTAGGACACAGTGGTTACAGAATAACTGTCAAATTTCTTAAGAATTTGGGAGGCAATTAAAAGTTAAATAAGGATTTTATAACTTCAAAAGGTCTTTTGTCTAGTTAAAATGGAAATAGAAGGATTTAGTGTTATTTACAATATATTTTATTATCTGTTCAGAGTTAATAAAAATTATTTAACTACATCAGCTCCCTCTTTGCAATTGTCCCAAAGGGAGAATTATACACAGCTAGTGAATGCCTCACCTAAAAAGGAAAAAAATCCCAAAGCCTTGGAAAGTGGAACCTTCTTAAAAGAAAAGTACTATAGATACTTAGCTAATTCTTAGGATTTAGAGAAAAGGAAGGAGAGTGTGAATGAAGTGAATTTCTTTATTGGCGACTAGCTGAAGTACAGAACTCCGTGCAAAGTTGAGACAAAGTGACTTTGCACCATCAATCTCTTGGTAGCGTAGAAGACAAAATGAGAGGAAAAAGTGCAGTAGAATTAGGGTCATTTCTTCTTCACCTAGGGTCTGAAACATTCAGAGAATATGGAAAACAGAGGATTTTCTTCTCCTAAAAGACTCCATCAGGCTCTCAAATGAAGTTTTGTTTCTCTAATTCCATTCTACCACTAGACTATTTTATTTTCGTTTGGGGAAAACAATAAAACTTGCTGGTAACTAAGGAGCATTCCCGGCACTCAGTTCCTGCTGGGAAGACAGTACTGGGGCTCATCTATGGGGAGAGAACTCATGCTCCCTTCTGAGCACTGACTGCCAGGCTCCCAGTTAATATTTCTCAAAAGAGGAGGAAGCTAACTTTGTTTTTTGGCTATGTATTCTCTACAGTAGCACCAATATCTCTTTATAGATTAGCAATTTAACAGTAACAACCCCCGCCCCCCTCAACCAACCTCCCTGCCAAAAAAAATCAGATAGTACTTCTGGCATTGGCAACTTAAATGAAAGTTAACTTAGAGATACGGTCTGATTTGAATGACTGAGAGTAAGATTCTAAATCTTTAGCTTTGGCTCAGTTGAGTCTAAACTGCTGAGAGATTTGGTAGATCAGGAGTTGGGCATATAAAGAGATCATCCAGTTGGGGTCCATGACCAAGGCATAACTCTTGTAAATTGGGGTTAGCTAGCCTATTGAGAGCTTTCAATGATGTTTTGTTTCTCTGATTCTATTCTACCACTAGACTATTTTATTTTCGTTTGGGGAAAACAATAAAACTTGTTTGTAACTAAGGAGCAGTCCAGCACTCAGTTCCTGCTGGAAAACAGTATACTCACAATGTAACCATGCAAGATTCTGCATGCAGGAAAGTGCAAGCTCTGCTGCCTTTAAGATCCTTGTGCCTTAGACACAGACATGAGTTTACCAAGAACTGGGATAAAGTCTCATTGATGTTTTCCTTTTTTGGACACTTATCCTATGTCCTGATTATAGTTAGGCCCTTTTACTCATTCAATAACTGCCAATGGGAAAAGAATATTTCCCATTGCAATAAAAATGATGCAGTTGAAATTAGTTTTTCAGTTTGGGTACTAGCTTGACTTCGTCTATCCAAACTGTCTCTCCATGTCCTCATGTGTTCTAGCTGCTTATAATTTGGAAGATGGCTAAATAAATAAATAAATAAGGAAAGGTCCAGAGTAAAACTGCCAAGCAAAGTTGGCTCTTCTGTCTGAGAATTGAACTTCAACATAAGTAGCCCTAATCTGTTGAATTACCCACCACAAAAGTCTCAGTTGAGCTCATTTTTTGTGTGTAGGAAATTCATTCACAGAGCTTGTTTACAGTACAGAGTCTTGGTCCTCATTCCTAGAGATTTTGATTCAGTGGATCTAAGGTAGGATTCAAGAATCTGTACTTTTAATAATCACTATTCGTGGCTCATACTCAGATGGTTCTTGGACCAAACTTTGGTGAATGAAGTCTGAGTCATTTGAATTAACCAGAGGAGACTAGTCAGGGTGCTGTGAGGAAACAAAGCTTTACATTCCTTCTAAGGGAAGAGAGGTGATGAGACAGGGATACTGGGGGTAGAGAGAGGCAGTGAGGAAACAAAACTGGCTAAGTGTGTGTAGTATTGATTGCTGTATTCACATATCCTGGGAAATATATGAAAATTTCCTTTAACCAACAGATAACCACTACCCAGTGGGCATTTAGGACTGTGGGCCACACATAGTTTGGAGGTTAGAGGGGACAAGAGCATGGACTCTAGGACCAGCCTAAGTTTGACTTTTGGCTCTGCCATTTATTTGCTGTGTGACTCTGGCAAAATGATTTAATCGCCAAGTGGTTTTGTTCCCCTCATCTGTAAAATGGGAATGAAAATGGTATTTGTCTCATAGAGTTGTGAAAATGAAATGAATGAATATAAGTAAAAGTGCTCAGAACAGTATCTGCTTAGAAAGTGCTAGATGGGGTGTGCCCAAGATCGCTGAATAGTAACAGCTCCAGCCTCCAGCTTCCAGCGTGAGTGACACAGAAGACAGATGATTTCTGCATTTTCAACTGAGGTACTGGGTTTATCTCACTGGGGCGTGTCGGACACATGGCGCTGGTCTGCAGGTGCAGCCCGACCAGCAAGAGCTGAAGCAGGGTGAGGCATCGCCTCACCTGTGTAGTGCAAGGGGGAAAGGAATTCCTTTTCCTAGCCAAAGGAAATTGAGACACACAACAACTGGAAAATCAGGTAACTCCCACCCTAATACTGCACTTTACCAAGGATCTTAGCAAACGGCACACCAGGAGATTATATCCCACATCTGGCCCAGAGGATCCCATGCCCATGGAGCCTCCCTCATTGCTAGCACAGCAGTCTGAGATCTAACTGCAAGGAGGCAGCGAGGCTGGGGGAGGGGCGCCTGCCATTGCTGAGGCTTAAGTAGGTAAACAAAGCCTCAAATTGGGTGGAGCCAACCACAGCTCAAGGAGGCCATCCTGCCTCTGTAGACTCCTCCTCTGGGGACAGGGCATAGCTAAACAAAAAGCAACAGAAACCTCGGCAGAGGTAAATGCCCCTGTCTGACAGCTTTGAAGAGAGCAGTGGGTCTCCCGGCACAGAGGCTGAGATCTGAGAACGGACAGACTGCCTGCTCAAGTGGGTCCCTGACCCCTGAGTAGCCTAACTGGGAGACATCCCCCACGAGGTGCAGACCGACACCTCACACCTCACATGGTGGGGTACACCCCTGAGACGAAGCTTCCAGAGCAAGAATCAGATAGCAACACTTGCTGTTCAGGAATATTCTATCTTCTGCAGCCTCTGCTGCTGATACCCAGGCAAACAGGGTCTGGAGTGGACCTCAAGCAAGCTCCAACAGACCTACAGCTGAGGGTCCTGACTGTTAGAAGGAAAACTAACAAACAGGAAGGACACCCACACCAAAACCCCATCAGTACATCACCATCA